GTGTGTGTGTGTGTGTGTGTGTGTGTGTGTGTGCGTGTGCGTGTGCGTGTGTGCGTGTGTGTGTGTTGTAATATATTTTAAGTATGGATAAATTTTTAAATACGCAAATACTAAATATATAAAAATGCATTACATATAATTATTTTTTAATTATCGTGCACCTGTGTGTGCACAATAAAAACTGTTTTATATTTGTGTCAAAAACACTATCCACTTAAGCTCTTGTTATTATTATGTGTTGAATTTTTTAACATATTCGAGAATTAGTTTAATAAAATGTGGATTTACATAATACTATAAAATTTTACATAATACTTATGTAATTATCTAACCGAGAGTTAATTATAAACCGCTGAGGAAGTTATTTGAGACATTACTTAAGAATCAATAGGAATTACCGAGCAGTAGGCATTATTATGACTAAGTATTATTATTACTAGTCATTAATTAACATCATTCTTTAAGTTAAAACTGTTGAATATTAATTATTCAATTATGATACTATATATACTATATATTTATTTATTATATATTAACCAACAAGTATTTGTACAGATTTGGAGCATTACTGGGGAATTACTTTATCACTCGAGTCAAATATCTAGATGAGATATTTGAAGTTAGGAAATCTGTTACATTCACACAACACAGGGCACTACTAAGATATTATTGTGGAAATGACATAAAAATTCAACAATAATGCCCTATAATTCCCTTAACTCCTCGCATCTAATATATATTCATCTTGTTTTAAATTAATCTAAATAGACCATTGAGTAGACCGTTTGATACATGTGATTCATAAGATAGTCAGACGTAAGCAGTAAGCAAAGTGACTAATCTTAGTAGAAGTGAAGTTACTGTCTTACATTTTTTAGTGTCATTGGTTGCCGATTCTATACTGCTTACATTTTTTACATTTAAAAAGTAATCCATTATTTTTGCATGAAATTGAATGGAAAAATAATGGATTTCTTTTTACTACACCTAATATTAAATTTATGATTTATATTAAATTTATATTAAATTCGACACATTTTTTCTAACAGTGCAAAATATACAACAAATATAAAACTGCAACACGATACAAAATAATGCCTAAACTATGTTTTTTATATTGAATTGATTAAATTTTTTATTTTTTTTTGTTAATAGAAACATTATTATTATTTGTGTATTACTAGACATTAGCGGGAATTACTAGGGTATTACTGGGACATTACTGAGCATTATTAGAGCATTACTGGGCATTACTAAGGCATTAGTGGGTACTATTAGACATTACGTAAATTTTTTCAGTAATGCCTAGGAATTAAGCATTACTACGCACTGGTGTACAGGATTTTGGTCAGGTTTACTCCTCCAGGTTTCTAACATACTTCTTTTGTTAAATTAACACAAAAATTTGGGTGGACTGTCTGGGATAAAATGTTTTTAACACAAAATTTTTTACTATGTACTTTCAAGCCTTATAACTTGAAAGTAAAAAGTACTTTATGAAAAATAACTTTATTGTAGTGTTTTGAAAAGTTCTTGACAGCTATTAAATTATAGAATAAAATGTCTGATCAATGACTAAAACCTCTTGAATGTTGTTCAAGATCATGTTCAAGATAACATTTGTTAAGATCAAGATTATTGGAGATTGTTTCTCTGATTTTCATTTTTACATGAAAATGAACTTCCAGTGCAAAAATGAAAATAAAAGAAACGATCTTCAATAATCTTGATCTTTACAAATGTTATCTAAGACATGATCTTGAACAACATTCAAGAGGTTTTAGTCATTGATCAGACATTTTGCGTAATGCTAATGTCGGCGGTACTGTAATCTTTAAATCTTATAATTCAAAAAGTATTTTATGAAAAAATATTTTATTATAGTATTTTGGAAAACTCTCAAGATGTGCTACAAGAATATGCAATAAAAAATGGGGGTTTCATTAAAAAAATTCATGTTAATCTTGATCTGATCTTAATAGTATCTCCTATCCAAAATCTGTTATTTTCACTTTCTTTCCAAGAAAACAACAACTACAATATACCTACAACTTTCATATAAAACTTTTTCTTGTATCTCTCTTAGGTTCTGAGATATTCGCCTGGGGCGATTAAGATGCCCTATCCTGTACATATATATACATATATATAT